TATATATATATTGCTATCTGGCTGTTTCGACCACGCTTCACGATCCCCATGCTCCCCAGTGTTCATGAATGATTACGGCTTCTTCAAACCCCACCCAAAATAATCAGTCCAACCAATCATGTCTTTAAAAAACCACGTCCATAAAAGTCAAACAGACTAATCATGTCTTAGACAAACTCCTCCCACACAACAAGAAACACCCACTTAGTGACGGCAGAGACCGCCTTTTCCATTATTTTGCAGACATTTGAGATATGATTACATTTTTACTTTTAGCTACTGGCTTTTTATTTTTTTTATTTATATTATTATTTTCTGAAATTGGAAATACCTATACTTGAAGTTTAGCAAAGAAAACAGTTTACAGGTAGATTTTTTTAAGACAACTTTTGTCTTAAAGGGCATGTTATGATATTAATGTTTCAGCATTTGTCACCGCATTCTAATTAAATTATATCTAACTACATTACTGCATATTGGCCTAAATCTCAGATATTATTGCATTACAAACATTAAGCTATTCCTGTGGTGGCAAATCACAAAATAAATATCTAAGTTTCAACCTATTTTTATCAGCTAATATTGCATTTCTTCCATTAGAAGCCACTGGTCCTGCCTGAAAACAACTAAAGGTCCTTCAAATCAAAACTCATGCTGAGGTTTGAACTGGATTATTATTGCTTTGGACCATTTAGGGCATTTTTTCCCCAAAACACAAATATTACCTCTACTGGTTCCCATGGTTTCAGCCTCCCATATCTCTGAACAGGCATCGACAGACATTTTAAAAGTGCCATCGATCTCAGTGTTCATTTATCTGTGCTCATTGGAAAGATTGGCAAAAAGATTCCTAAGAGATTCAGAATGCCGTAACTTCACTTTTTTTTCTTGTTCTTCTTCTTCGCCAAGGTGGTTCTCCAGTTTTGGCTCCCAAAATTAGTACAGCCTCATCAGACAAGAACTTAGCTCCTCTCCAAGTCAACCTCCTGCAGTTCCGGAAGAATGTTGCTGACCTCAGGTTGCAACTCCATCAGATGAGGCAGCTGCAGGCAAGAGTCCTTTCCCCCCTTTTAATTGATTTGCACTGCTTTATGCCGTTTCACATGTGCACCTGTCTTGCACATTCTAAGAGCTCTCTGCTGGTTTGTTAGTTCCATGGGCTCTCTGATATTCCGTTTCACTTTGTGCATCCCCTACAGCTCCAGAATCAGGAGGTGTTACGGGTGCAGCTGAAGCGAGCAGAGCAGGAAATCAGTGTTAAACTCACAGAGGCCATGCGGCGTCTCGAAGACCCTGTCCAGAGGCAGCGAGTTCTGGTGGAGGAGGACAGGCAGAAGTACTTGGGTATGGAGGAGCACGTTCTCACACAGCTCAGGTAGGAATGCACAAAAAACAACACTAAATTAAAATTTAATTCTATTAGAAAAAAGTTGAGGTAATGTAAGATAAAAACAACACCAGCAATTTGCATGCTGGAGTAGGTTGCCTTTGCAGCAAAACTTTGCTCAGGCTTTAGAGTAGACACACCCATGTAACTTCAGACAGTGTTTCTCCATTCGAAGGAAATTCCCCAAAAGGTTCCTCTTCATCAGCTCACCTGAGCCATTCAATCCCTAACTCTTTTGACAAGCCAACACCCTCCAAATTGCAGCCCACAGGTTTATACAAGCAAGCGGTGTGTGCATGTGTGTGTATGTCTCAGTGTAGAACAATAAACCCAACCATGGAGTAATTACATACTACCATGTTCTTACTTTAATTCACTCAGCTCATCTCAGCAACAAGGAGCAGCAATTAAATCCCTTTTATTTGGGTGTTTACAAGGTGAGGTCAAGCCTTCTTGTCTTACAAGACAGTGGTGTGCAGAGACCTGAGTGAATTCAGTTGACAGCAAGTGATGAAAGAAGAAATGGTAAAAGCCAACAGGTTGAAGCTAACATAAGCTCTGTATTATTCTTGAAATCCAACCATTTGTGAGCCAGCAAAAACAAATCTGCTTTCGCTTTGAATGAGGTGTGGTTATGAAAACTGCCCAGGTTTAAGACGAGTCAAAAAGGAAAACTAAAAGTGTCTCATTGAATGACCTCAGTTTGGAGAAATACAGATCACTTCTGACTAGACTGAGTTGTTGGCTCCGGCTAGCCTTTAGCTTGTCAACCTGGCCACAATTAATCACTGTTTTTTCAAACTCAGGTCACTCAAAGATATTCAAAGTGCAAAATGATTGCCAAGCAGATCCAGTCGTAAATAGCTTATTGTTTATTATTTATGTTTTCTATAAATTAAGCCACAAGAACAAACACAATGACAGAGGCTTGATACAGATTAACAATCTTTTTTCCTTGTCCTCGGCTAGAATTTCCATGACTTCTCTTACCAACTAGTCTTGGCAGAGCTGCCCATTTTACTCACTGTCTTTTAAACACTGTCTGTTTTATTGAACGTAACAACAGAAATCAACAAAAACATTACAAATATACAATATTCATACATTCAAAGAAGTGACCAGAAATATGTGCTTATATTAGCCCAACCCTTTGTCTGCAGCCTTATTCCCATCACTTCTTATTCATCACAAAATACTTTAGAAGACTTCAATAAAAGGGTGCTCCTCGAGGGTGCTTAAACACAATGAAACACCATTTTAGCTGTTCTCTGCTGCACACAGTGTTATCATTCTGCACATTTCCTCTCTGAAAGGAAAGTTTTCTTTACCAACTTTTTAAAATGACTGTGGGATATGGTATTTTTATCCTCTCGAAAAGAAACGCTAAGTTTAAGGTTTTAGTATTCAGTGATACACTTCACAGTAGGAAAGTGATCTGAATGGTGAAAATATTGATTGATAGTCTGGCATATACGTATGTGTTTTATACATTATGCACCTTTTTTTCCCCTTTATGTGGATCATTGCTTTCACCTCTGGTCATTTCAGACTTATTTATGGTCTCAAAGATTAATGATTGTGCCCTGCCCCCTGGTGTCTCCAAAGCGTATATACATATGAATAATAATAGTTGCACAAAAGAAAAATATGTCTTAGCACAGCAGAATCTTCTTGATCCAAAAAAATCCTTGAGTTTTCATTTATTCTGGTAAAAAGTATATAGCACTGTGTGCAATGTGTTTTTTTGTGACCTAATTGACAAAAAAACATTTTGTTGTCTTCGCAGTGAGTTGGAACAATATGTAGGTTCTCTGCAGAACGACTCGGCAGCAGCACTCAGAGTGGTGACCCTGAAGGATGTGGAGGAGGGAGCTGTAACTCTGAGGAATGTGGGAGAATCTCTGGCAGGCCTTAAAGGTAAGATACGACAGACAGACCTCTTTCTAACAATACAGTCACACTAATTTATAGCTCTCACATCAATAATTGTGTTTAATTAGTCAGTAATTTTTACAAATTGGCATTTTATCTGGTATCGATATGATGTATTTTCTTTTTTTTCAAAGTTTTTTTTTATTATTTTTAACATAAAACACAAACAAAGAACAAAAAAAAAACACACACCCCCAAGAACCCTCCCATCCCTCCCCACCTATACCGGATCTACCAAAAAAAAAAAAAAAAAAACACACACAAATCCACTACATGGATTTTAATGAAACTTTCAGAAAGTATTTATTAGATCTACATCTACAAGTGGTTAACTTTTGGAATAAACCCATAGCATTATGGTCACTGCAGCTAATGGGCATTGGTAGAGGCAAAAATGGCTATAAATCTGT